ATACTTAACGAATAAATAATAAAAATTTATATTATTATTAATATGTTAAATATATATTATTCAATTATAATTTTGTTATCCTTGGCTTGATCTATTATAAGATGATGTTTATTATTGTTCTCGTACAGACACTAATTTGTATCCCTTTCCACTTTTTATAGCCTCTAAAATGGCTTAAGTCATTGCAATATCTTCTACATTACTTTAATGTTTAAAATTTAAAGTGTTATATTTTTGTCTTAACTGCTACAATTCTTATTCCTTATATTTAGTGGCTTCATCGGTAGGATCTTATCTATAGATCATAAGATTGAGTTTATTTCTTAAATCTATACTTGTTTTTTATTTTAGCTTAAGTTAACTTTCTAATTACAAAATTTCTTATTTAGCTTACTCAACCTATTGTAATTTTAATGAAGTTTACTTTGAATGAATCTTCAGTGCTTTTCTTTATTTAAGACCCAGTTCGTTAGTGTTATAGATTTCCTTATTTTTAAAGACTAATTTAATTCATTAATTCATAAACTCTTTCTTAAAGTTCATAAACTTTATATCTCCAATACATTTCAACTTGCTCTTAAGGTGTGATTTATTATTCTTGGACAGTTGTCAGAGTCTCTTGAATAACTTTTTATGGCACAGTAGTAACCTAATAATCTTCAACTTGAGGTATCTATTAGACAACTTAATTTTATTATATCATTTAAGGAATGATTTAAGATTATTATACTTTAAGTTACAAATTTTGGACAGGAGACTATTATAATGGTTATTGGTTTGTATTAATTAGTTATTGATTTTATGGTACATTTAATTAAAAATTCTAAAATTATGACTATTATAATGGTTATTGGTTTGTAGTAATTACTTATTGATTTTATGGTACATTTAATTAAATATTCTAAACTGGGGACTATTATAATTGAAATTGGTTTGTATTAATTAGTTATTAATTTTATGGTACATTTAATTAAAAATTCTAAAGTTATGATTATTATAATTATTATTGGGTTGTAGGAATTATTTATTGATTTTATGGTAAATTTGATTAAATATTCTAAACTGGAGATTGTTAAAGCTATTAAGAATAAACTGAATCATTTCTTGGAGGAGTATTAATGATTTGTGAAAGATTTTTATCTATTGAATTGTTTCTTATAGTTTTTTTTGTAGTTAAGGGTTAACCAATAGTTTAAGATACTATAACTTCTGGTGTTTAGTAAACAACTAGTCAAATAAAAGCATAAGATACCATTATTTTATGTACTGGCAACTTCTTTACCATGTAAACCATGTTGGCATAAGTAACACTGTTCTTCATATCTTCCAGAATAAAAGGTTGAAATTTATTAGGAGTTTTTGAGTTCTGCTTATTTTATAACCTATTACTCAATAGGCATTTAATAAGTTTGTTTTTTCTCATATTCAAATGACTTAAGCTAATTATATTAAAGTGGTTAAGTTTAAATCAGTGTTGGATTAGTTATTTATTAATTCCTTAGTACATTTGATTAAATATTCTAAACTGGAGATTGTTAAAGCTATTAAGAATAAATTGAATCATTTCTTGGAGGAGTATTAATGATTTGTGAAAAATTTTAAACATTTGTAGTATTTCTTGTAGTTAATGGTTAACCAATGTTTTAAGATACAATAACTTCTGGTGTTTAGTAAACAACTAATCAAATAAAAGCATAAGATACCATTATTTTATGTACTGGCAACTTCTTTACCATGTAAACCATGTTGGCATAAGTAACACTGTTCTTCATATCTTCCAGAATAAAAGGTTGAAATTTATTAGGAGTTTTTGAGTTCTGCTTATTTTATAACCTATTACTCAATAGGCATTTAATAAGTTTGTTTTTATTCATATTCAAATGTCTTAAGTTAATTATATTAAAGTGGTTAAGTTTAAATCAGTGTTGGACTTGTTTGAATTTAATTTGTTTGTTAAATCTCTCTCTGTGGAGTTGTGCTTTAAATATTCCTTTGATTGGATTGAGTAATTCCTCTTTTCACTGGTATAGGTTATCCAACAGTTTATTAAACTATTACTTCAGGTGTTGAATAAACAACTATATATATTAATAAATTATGATGAAAGTACCGACAGGTTCGCCTACTATGATTCCTGTTGAATGATCCTACTTTTCTACACCATGTAAACCATGTTAACAAAGATAACATTATTATTCAAATTTGGGTGAATAAAATGAAGCAATTGATTCTTAATTAGTTGACATATTTGTCTTATTTAATAAAGCAAAATAAATTTTATTTAATTAATTTACTTAATTTTTTGAAAATTTTTTAGATTAAATGAATAGGAAGAAGTTAAATTAAGATGTTTGCTTACTTGAAATATTAATAATAAATATTTTAGTTTCTATTAATTAATACTTTTTTAATACTTGAATTTAAGTTAAATATTTGAAAATTAAGCAACGTTACTTTTAATTTATGCCACTTTAAGAGTTCTTAATTTGAAAAAATTAGATTTTCAGTATAAAATGTAAAAACATTTTTTTGTGATGAATTAAAAAATAGAAAATTAATACATTTGAACAATATTTATTATATATTCGTTTTTAATGTCAAATATCTACTTCACTTTAGGGTTGTTCTTGATCATATCAAATCTGGATCTTGGAGTAACTCAATGGTTACCTACTTATGAGGCATTCAGAGATGAAAAAATTGATGATTTAAATGGTACAAATTTAAAGTCAGCAAAATATAGGATGGGTGATCCAAAATCAATATGAAGCTACTTTTGATGTTATTACAAAATGTGGGCCAATATAAATTTTAGGAGGTTTACGGTCATTCGGTTCTTAAACTACCTTAACAAAAATGATTAAGATTCCTCCTCATTATAGACTTAAATTTATTATACAATTGTGGAAGTACTACCCAAAAGTTATGTAGAATAGGCGATTGGGAAAATGATAAAATTTAAGTGTTTGTAGATGGTGTGCCTTGGGAAATGAAATGGGGTTTTACAAAAGGAGCAAAATAATTATGTGGTGGTCCTTAAATCCCTAACAGTGATAAAGTTTATGACGTTGAATTTGAAGTAGCTCATAATTCTCCAACAGCTACTATCGTCATAGCTAGTACTTAAATTTAGAAAGCAGATAAATAAGCCTGGGGCATGAGAAATATCAAAATCTCTTTTAAAGAATGTCCTTCTCAATGTGGCATATGTCATAATGACAAAGTTAATGAATGCAAATTTTGGAAGTAAGTTGATCTTAGTTGGTTTCGTACTGATACTTCATTAGAAGGATGGAATTTACTAGAAGGAAAATAGAAATCCTATTAATGTTCAGGAATTGTTATGTTTGGAGGTCCAGATAATATTGGTAGTAAAGCTGTTTTAACTAAATAAACAAAAAACTTACCTCCTCATTAAAAGGTAATGATCAAATTCACTTTATGGAAAGTATTATATTATAATATAATTTTAAGTTTGGACAATGGGATAATGATCAATTTTATGTACACATTGATGATGAATAAGTTTATAAGTAAACATTTTAAATGTTAGATGGATTAAGCATATGTGGAGAGTAATTCTTATTATTTATGAATTTTAAGTTGTAAACCAGGGTATGGCTAGAAATTAGTGAATATAGAAATAATCTAAAAACATAAGAAGAATGAAATGACAGTGAAATTCTCTTCTTCTTTAAAGTAAGGTACAAATATTTTAACAATATTTTAGATCCTGAAGATCAATCATGGGGAATACGAGATTTTTTTGCTTTTGTAGCTGAATGCCCTAAATTTTGTAAGAGTTGCTTTGGATCTGGAGATAATGAATGTTTAAAATGTGAAGAAACTCATTAATTAATTGAAGGAAAATGTGTTAATAAAGACGATTGGTTTATTTTATCAAAAGAGTTTAATGAACCATCAAGTTTTAAAAAGATAAAAGAATGGTAGATTGATAATATAGATCCTATTCAATCTGAGGTAGATACATCTCCTATTACACAGTGTGGTAAGGATATCAGTATTGTTGGAGGCTATAAAATATTGGCTAAAGTATAATATATAATAATATTCAGAAATCATAAGTTTCAAAAATATATACTAACATTCCTGCACATAATTTCTTAAGATTAAGAATTACTATGTATAAAATAGACAGATGGGATGGAGAAGAGTTGCTTATATTAGGAGATAATAAATAAATATGGAGTCAGCTTTTAGGTTGGAATGACCCTGGACAATCTAATATTTGTGGTGATCCTAAAAGTCCATGGAAAGAAAGAATTATGTTTATAGATTAAGTTATTGAGCATAATAAAGATGAATTTAAATTAACTATTACATCAACATTATAGGTAACTGCTGATATAGCTTCATGGGGATTTAGAGATTTAATGATATTATATTCTCCAATAAAAGAATGTATTACTGTTTTTAGTGAATGTAATTATTAGGGAGAATAAGGATAGATTTGTGATAATGTTGAAGAATTAAATAAGGTATATTGATTCAATACTTTATCGATAGTTTGATTTCCATATAAAGTCTATGCAGATACCAGAAGGATTGAAATTTGTTGGATTTAAGAATGCTCAATTCAAAGGTGACAGAGTTGAGTACACAACAAATTAGAAATGTCTTGAAGATATTTAATATTCATTCATCTAAAGATTATGAGCCACACTAAAATACAATAACATTAAAATATTGATAATTTTAACTAAAAATGTTTCATTACTAATTAAATGTTCTCATTTTTGTTCTATTATAAATGTTCTTTAATTTCTATATAAGGATTTATAAATAAATATATAAATAATATGATGAATAGCAATAATAATGGATTGAATGATTTAGAATTATTAAGATTAATTCAATAAGAATTTCAATAAGAGAAATCACCTGTGTATGACGAAATTAGTGATTAATATTCTTCAGTTAGTGATGATGAAGAGATCATTATAAGAGATCCATCATCATAAATAAGTAATTTAATTTAAAATTTATTTTAGCTGATGAATCTTCATTATCATAATAATAAGAAAAGAAAAAAGGTAGATGGAAATATGTAATATTTTATTAGTATTTATTTAGTGTTGTTAATAATGTACTAAATCTGATAAAGGTTCTATTAAACCTAAAACTTGTGTTTGTATTGTACCTGCATCTTAAAGAAGAATTTAAATTGGTGAATAAGGATGTCTATCATGTCATTGCACAGGATGCTCAATTGAAGATGAAAAGAAAAAATAAAAAAAAATAAAAAAGAAAAGAAAATCTTCTTCAGATTCAAGTTCAAATGAATCTTCTGATTTTAAAACTGTAAATGGATGTTGTAAGAAATGTATGAAAGCATTTTCTAAAAAAGGAAAAGAAGCTAAAGTTTAAATATTATAAAATATTTTTATTAGTCTTGTTTATGTCAGGTACCAAGAGCAGTCAGAAAGAAACCTCTTCCTCCTCATGGTTGTTAGTATTGCGGATGTCATGGATGTAATCCAGAAGATAAAAAGAAAGATAAGCCTAAAAAAAATAGTCGATAATTATCACCTGTGTCTAGTGATTTGAATGAACAGAATCTTAATAACTTTTAAAATGCTCGTAATATTGGGTTATGATGTTAGCTTTAATTTAATTGTTAAATTCTTAGAATATCAATCCAGGCATTATAGGAATAGGTATACCATAAAGGACATACTCATATATATATGGGAAAGAACAAGGTCGTTGAGAATAAAAACTTATTAAATTATTTATAATCATAAACTCTTTTAATCAATTAATGAGCGTAGTAATTTTATTATTCAATAGCAAAGGAATTAATAAAGTTAAGCTAAATCAATAGTGTACAAAATGCATCAGATATTTGTATAATCAAATTAGATTTAATGATTCAATTTATAGCAACAATTTATTTTTCAAAGCAATATTAAAAAAGACATTTCTATATTTATAATTCGCATCATTCGTATCTCAAAGATAATCTATAAAGTGATGAAATAATAAAAATTAACAAATGAGAATCCATAGTTTTTAGAAATGAATACAAAAATTAATTATATTTTATAATTACCACTTTCATTCTATACAATGATTAGCAAACAATCTTAAAAAATCTTATCCTAATGAAGTTTAAAATGGAACTTTAATTGGTTCATTGCTTTTTTGTATGGCAGAACTATTATTATATGTTATAACTATTTATGCTTCATTTCTTAAATATGCTGAATTAATTTGAGAATTAAAAGGAGAACATAATTAATTATGTTTAATATTAGCTGATTTTGGATGTCTTTATTAATTCATTTAATTTCCATCATCCGTATGATATCCTCTTATTTCTTTTTATTATTGAAATTTATTAAAATTCATCTTATTATTCATTTTAAAATAATCCAAATCAAATTCACAATCATTTTCTTATTAAATTTCTTAAAATATTAAAAAAAATTATATTACTTTCATCATTAATTTAGGCATACATATTTTTAATTGGAATATCAACACTATTTTTGGAGACATGGCTAACACCATTATCTAATGGCAATTCTAAATCAGTAGCTTTTGGAGGAGTTCTATGCCTTGATGGAGGTCTTCCTTCAGTATTACTTACAATTAATTCATTGAAATCATTTTAACTTCTTCTATTTCCAGATCTAATTGAGATTAATTGCTATCATTCCTACAATAAAATACTTTTGGAGATATTTGAGTATCAATATCAATAATTTCTTATTCTTCTTAGATTATATTTGCTTCAAATTCCAGTAAATCATTTTCTGTTTCCTTTCTCTTTTCATAATTCTACTCAATTTAATTGAAGGAATTCATAAATCTTCTTCTTCTTCCACCTTCAGAGGTTTGAGGTCTATTAATTTAATTATTAGTCTTCCTCAAACTTGTAATTGGTTCTTCATTAATATATGATTTATTTTATCTATCATTTGAATAATACTTTGATACATTTATTCATCCTTCTAAATAGGCAATTGAAAATTCTAATGATCTTCACTATCTGCTTCATTTGATTCATTTGAGAAACAATCATTAATGAATTAATTAGCTCCATTATTTTCTATTTCAACATCCTCCATATAGTCTCTTGGAGTTAATTGTTCTTATTATTCTTCATCACTCCCTTAATTATCAACACATAATTTATTTTCGATTATATTTTATTATGTCTAAGGTCGCCCTTCACTTAATCTAAGTGGTCTTATACCCTATTAAGTAAGAGTTCGAGATTATTAAGATTATGAATTTAAATCATAACGTTATCGTTCATACTCTTAACTTTTTCTTTTAGATAATTGAGATTTCTATGCATATATCTTAGAGATTAGTTGAATATTTCCATTTGTTTTAGGTACTTACCTATAATTCGTATACATATATTACATAATCCTATTATAAGGATTAGGAACCATATGAATTACTGTTGTTAATGGTTATTAATATGGACTTTTCAATTATAATTTTTCTTTGCGAGACTATTGTGGTGCAGTTCCTCCTCTATTTTAATTTTCCCTAAACTAATATACATCCTTCAAAATACCCTTAATTTGTGAACCAACTCAAATAAAATGGTTATTATTTTTGTTATAGCTATCCCTTCTTTTGTTTAAACATTTAATATTATATAATGGTAAACACTCAAATAATATGTCATCTTTAGCCACTACCCAAATATTGACTGAAATTAGTTAATGGAAACTGTTGTCCTTGTCTCTACTAGCTCATTTATACTTATTATATAAGCTAAATATTCAAAAGCAATTACATGTTGACTAACATTAGAAAAATATCCATCTTGGCCTTAAGGTTTTTTAATAGGAACTTGATTTGATTTAATTTCATCTTTAGGAATGATATCCATCAAAAAGTCAAAGATTTCTGTATTGTAAATGCATGTTGCAATATCAGTCTTTTAGAGTGTTCTTCTTTTGCCATCTTCAGTGAATTACCATGCTCTATGTGTTAATTCAATAATGAAAATTTCACATGCTTTTGCAAATAGAACTGGTGTTTCTTAAGCAATCATCTAGAGATATAAAAAAACATTACTCTGACATCTTCATCTGATTTCATTATTTTCTTCACTCTTGCTAATGGTAATTGATGATTTTTGAATAGCTCGGGATCTATTTCTTAAACAATTTAATACCCTTGGGCATTTACATTATTTCTTCCTTCAATTCAACTAATTTTTCTTTCAATTTTTTCATGTGTTCCTATTGATGGACATCCTATTAGTACATTTTTAGAAATCAAATACTACATAGTGGTTTTGTATGTCAAATTATTCATTAGGTTATTACATCTTAAATATAATTTTATAAATATTTCATTCTAAATATTATTTTTTATCATCATTTTTTAAGATCTGATTATTTTTTATTATTCTAAATATACTCTTATATGATTATTATACTATGAATAAAAGTAATACTGAATAAAATCAATACATACAAAAAAGAATGAAAATTCACTTAATATTAAATTTAAACTAAGAAAATATCTTGAATATTAATTTCAAATTTTCTTAGTTGCAATTTTTTGTAACACTTTTTAAAAAAAGTAAAATTGTAATGAAGTAAGGATCAAATTTATGAAACTAAAAAACCTTAATTAAGAAATGTAAGCTAAAATGATATATTAATTTTGTAAAGTAATAATATGATTAAAGTAATTATCTAATGATTTAAACTGTCATTTAAAACCAATTTATTAAATTTATAAATATCTTTGTTATTAGTAATTAGAAATAGTAAAATAATCCATATTAATAGTAATCAATAAAATAATTCAATATTTTTGATAATTACTGATTAGGGATGAGAATAAAAATGATTATAAATGATTTAAAAATTTAGTAAATTATCTTTTATTCTTTAATTAATTAATGTAAATAAAGTCTAAGTTTAGATTCTTTGATATTGCAGCTAATCTAACAGATGATTAGTTTTATGGAATTTATCATCATAAGAAATACCATTAACCTGATTATAAAGATGTAATGAAAAGAGCATCTGATATTGGTTGTGAACATCTGTTGATTGCTAGTGGATGTTTGGGTGATTTGAAAAAGGCAAGAGAATTATGTCAATTGAGTCCACATTATTATACTACAGCAGGTATACATCCTTGTCGTGCATATGAACTTAATAAAAACTATTATGGATATATGGGTGATTTGAGAGACCAATTAGAATTAGCACTTAAAGAAAAGAAATTAGTAGCCATTGGTGAATGTGGATTAGATTATGATAGATTATAATGGTCAACTAAAGAAGAATAGATGATAGCTTTTGACCCACATTTTGATTTAGCTGAAAAATATAAATTACCTATGTATCTCCATAATAGGAATACAGGAGATGATTTTTATAACATAATGTAGAAGAATAGACATAGAATTGTTGGAGGAGTTGTTCATTCATTTACTGGATCTTTAGATGAGTTATAAAAGATCCTACATTTAGATCTCTATGTTGGAGTTAATGGTTGTTCTTTAAAAACTTAAAATAATATTAATGTTGCTAAATAAATTCCTTTGGATAAATTAATGTTAGAGACAGACTCACCATATTGTGAAATTAGAAATACTCATGCATCTAGAAAATTAGTTAAAACTTAATTTTAATCTCGAAAAAATGAATAGTGGAAAGAAGGATAAT